TTACTATTTCAGTCCCTGTACCTCTTCCTTCCAACTTCATTGGCACTCCCACTGCCATGCAATAAGCGATGGCCGCTCTCTGGCAGCCCGGCACAACTGAATGCTACACATGGCTCAGCGAGGAAGGAATCCTGTATCTTCTGGCTTGACTCAAAGGACATTAAATCAATGTTCCACTCTCGTAGCATTTACACAAATACATTGATTCAGCTTTAAAGATGCCTCTCCCCATTCCAGCATGCATCTGTTCCATGCCCTTAACCAGTCTATACCACTGTATTACTTTATTCCAGACATCTCCCGCTGCAAGCTAAACAAAATCTGTGGTTTCCCTTCATAGGTCTTGTTCTGGTTGTCCATCACACATCCCATGAAAACACGTACAGAGATTCCAATGCCACAGGATCCTGAAGTCGATTTCAGCTAAGAAGTATTACCTAACAGAATAAGTTGTTAACCAAAAAAGGTACGTGTACAAAGAGCAACTGCCTCAGGTAGCGAACCTCAAAAATCACAAGTCCAAGGTCACCAAATGTGTCTGTCTTCATTTCTTTTTGTGTTTTGAGGAATAGCATCCCTCAGTTTACACTGCTAACAGCCAAGTAAGCTCCCATACCATCTGAACAATTTTGTAGAGCATGCTTCTATTTATAAAAGGATACGTATGCAGCATATTTGGATAAACACGGATAGCATTTAAAATAGCACCCCAAAAAAGACCTTAAAGAAAAATAGAAAAGCTGTTTGTGTATTCGTGTACAAAGGCTGAAAGGCCCACCCTGGTCTAACACAGGCAGCCTCTCATCCCTATTTCCATACACCCACATCCTCCATCTCTGCTCACTAGGGAAAACAGACAGGACGTTGCTTTCCCTGCATCACCTATTTGGGCTTCAAACCTGGATCTGCACGCAGCGTTCCAAAGGCACCGCGAAGGCTGCAGCAGAGCAGAGCGCTGCCCCGCTGCAGGCACCCAGCCGCCAACCGCCCGCAATGAGACACAGCTCCTCTCTCCTACAAGAGGAGAGAATATTCCTGCCGAACATAAACACCATTTTTTCCTCCCTTGAGGAAAAAACTGTATTAGCTCACAGAAGTGCCCTGTACTGTCAGCTCTGCTGCTCCCCGTGGAAGCAATGATAACACTCTCCCAGCTATAGCCAGAAAACCCAGCTCCCTTCCAGCATTAGGAATGATTAAAAAAGACTTCTCACACTTCAGTTCAATGCATTCTCCTGTCCTGCTTTTTGTGTGTTTTTTTTTTAATCCTTTATGACAAGTTTTAGATACAGTATAGAATAAAATTACATATCAAGATTAAATTGCCACAGTCTAAAAGGCCTTTGCTTTGGCATAGCAAGAATAACATCCTTTCAGAAGCTGACAAACATGGCCAGTCAGTAAAGCCTTACCTCTTTCAAAGTTAAACTGTCTAAGGAAGCTGAAATCTCTCCTTAGTTTTACATTTTTAAAAAATACCTGTCTTTTCTCCACTGAAAATTACAATTCCCAAATTAGTGTTTGTTTCAGTGATGACATTCACCTAATTAAACCAATGCACGTTTTTGGACACTCTTACTCTCTCCAGTGCCATCCACATGGCTTGGCACAAACCCTGCGCGAAGCTGCTCCTCACCAGTGCCAGAAAGCCTTGGTTTGGCACGTGAAAAAATAAAAGTAATAATAATAGTAATAATCAGAAATAGGTTAAGGCTTCAAATAGCAGAGTGTGGTTTAGTAAGAAGGTCCATCAGAGTGCCAGCTGTGTGTGTCTGTGGCATACCCCTATGATTATGTCTCATTGTGACTTCTAAGCAAAATTCAAGTCTCATCTTCAGCATTGGCTGAATGAATTTCCACTCAGTGGTGCCCTGACCCAGAAAACCCATGCCATCCTGGTGGAGAACTCAACACACAGTAGCACAACTCCCATCGCATCAAAGTATTGCACCCTGGTCTTTGTTACAGACACCGTGTTGCTGTCATGCTTCCAAAATGCCCAGCTGACTGCATGCTGCAGAAAAGTCACAACGTGGCCATTACCAGAAATTCGTAGCCTACTGTATTCAGCAAAAGACTGAAGAACTTCGTTTTCTTTATTTTCATGACTAAAATAAGCCACAGTTTTTCCATACAACTTTAGGCACCTACACATGCAGGCACTGCAGCTAAGCTAAAATAGAGAGGATGCTGGCAATAGAAACAACAGTAAGTAGCACAGTTTGAACCAGCGAAGAGCATCACCAGCTCCAGCATCATCGTTCACTGGGTGAAGTTAAGCTTTATAGCATAATGCTCACTAACAGCTAAGTTGCCATCTCTACTAATACTGCAGTTACACAAGCTAAAGTTGGAAAGTAAAGCTGGAAAGTTGACGAGATTCGGGTTCTGTGGATGACCACACTAATGCTTACATCACAGCAGCCAGCAATCCAAGGCAGAAGAGCCCAGACTGGGTTGGAATGGTTTACACTGTTATCCTTAATGAAAATACAAAGGACGAAAGGTTTTGGAAGAAATAAAGCTCAATGTGCTGCAGCTGAATCACTCTGGATTCTGGTAACATTAAGCAGAATTCTTCCTTCATTATGCCATTTGATTTGTTCCTGTAAGTAAATTAACCTAATTATTATATATAGCACTATGTATGCATTCATTCGCAATGCTTACAGTTAATGCACATTTACTCCCCTACTGTGACAAACCAGACCACCTACTCACACAGCTCTGTTTATTATCAGAGGAGCGCACAGGGGAGCTGAGGGCCCACAACGCACCCGCGCTCAGACGCTTTTCCAGGCAGCGCTGCAACAGCTAAGTAGCTCAGCTCCCCCTCACAGAACCAGAAGGAATACCACAGGGACACAGCAAATGCTGGATAGTCAGCCGAGCAAAAAGAATAGAGAAGCATCTCTCGTGGAACCTTCCCAAATTAATGCATCATACCACTGATCAACACCACCACGACATAACAGTGCACACCATGCATTTCAAACTCTCTTCAGGTGCTACCATTTAGCAAAGTTGTTTGGCCCACAGCTACAAATAAAGATTACGCTGCCTAGATGCCAGCCCTGGCCTCAGGGCGCTTTCCATCCAGCAGAAGGCCCTCACCGTGCATGGCTGAGCACACAGGCAGGCTCAGAGAGCTGCTGAGGAACTCGTGCAGTGCCCAGAAAGCACGCTGTCTCCTACTCAGTAAGCAGTTTTTAAAATTATCATTCACTTTTTCCACATATATTAACATCCATTATTCATTTCCACATGCTGAATTTGGTGGATTCTGTGACACCCCACTGGGCCGATCTGCACCAAAATCTGCTGTGAGAACCCCCTCCTTTGGCCACTTTCATGCACTTACATATAGATAAGGTCCTCAACAGACAGAGCGGCCTCGGAGCTCAACAACACAAACAAGAAATGAGCAGAAACTCAAGTAAATCATCACTTGGTAAAGTTCCGGTGCTGCGACCAGCAAGCAGGCTGATATGAGCAGCAGAGCTTGAAGCGGCAGCAGGCAGTGCCTCCTGTGCTGCTCCACTGGGGTGTGTACCAACAGCAGCAGTGCATGCTGGCACCAGGAAAGTGCAGTCTGCACAGCCTAAAGTAACGGGTCACAACAAAAGGAAAAAACCACCAGAAAAAGATGCTACCAGTACACACACCGCATGCTTTGCTCCCAAAGACAGACATCACTAAAACTGCTCAGGATGAAAAAAACCAACAGCAAATCTGTACAGATCTGTCCAAGTATTTCTGAATGGACAGGACTTCAGAGACTGCCTAACAGCAGTTGCTCAGTTAAGTGTTATTTTCATCACAGACACAGCTTGGCAGCAGCACGGAGCGTGTGTCTGGGATGGTCTCTGACACAGTACTAACATTCCAAGATGCACAGGCCAAGTTACAATATGGAGATATCCTAAAAATATCTGATATTGCATGTAATTATTCACTGCTAACAGAGAGCGGGATTAAGTTTGAGATTTGGTAACAGACTGCAAACTGTTCCTCCGTACAGCGACAGATTCTGACAGGGACATCCCCGCGGCACCCCGCTGCCATGGCAGGGTGTAACAGCCAAGGGCTGCACAGCAGCACATCCATCACAGCCACACGTTCAGAGCGTCACATGAAAAGCAACACGCAGCTCCCGAGACAACCTCAGCATGCACCCATCTCTCCAGGTGCAGGAAAATGCTGGCATTAAGATCCCTTTTTCTGATTATGAAACCACGTGACCAGAATAAACACAGCACGCTGTGAGCGGAGTTTGTGGCCGAAGGCAACTTGTGTGCTGCGTGTGCCCGCGAGGCCCCAGCCATGATGAGGAGCCCAATGACAAGGATGGGTTTATACACATAGCGGTTCTACCAGCTGAAACGGTGCGGTATCCTGAAAGGGCTCGGCGATCCCTAAGCGTGAGAGGCACTAAAGCCAGCAGCCAGTAATCACGTCACACTAAGCCAAGAGTACTGCTCGGCGTCAAACGCCGCTCTGATTTAAGAAACCGCTTGGCAAAACGACATCTGCATTTCGCTCTGCATGCTGAGCCACGACACCCGCACCAGTAAGGAGCGCCGTGAAACGCCGAGCATTACATTAAGGCACAACTTAAGAAGGTTAAAAACGCGGCCACGCGCACACCAACACCGAGCCCTCGGCCGCTCCAGCGCACAGCCCCGCACAGCCGAACCCGCGCAACCACCCGCGGCTCGAACCCCGCGCTGGGCGGACCACCGCCCCGCAGCGCCGGCACTGAGCTCTGCCATGAGGGGACGCGGGAGCGACAGAAAACGGGGGCAACAAAAAGTTTCATTCCCCCCCCATCCCCCGCTCCTTCCCTCGAGCAAATCTCGACGCACCCGTCAGCTCCTCGGGCTCCGGGTTCGGTTACATAAAGAACGCACGGCCGGCGGCTCCGGCGCTGCTAACCCGGCCCGGCGGCGGCCGAAAGGGAGCGGGGCCGGGGAGCCGCCGGCCCCCACGGTGGTACTTACGTGAAAACGAAAAATAAAGTCGTCGAACCCACTAACAAGGCGGCCGCCGTGGAGACGGGGATGTATTTGGTCGGTTTAAACCTCTTGCCGGTGCTGCTGGGCATCCTGTGGCTTACACATCACTGAGCGAGTCCGAGCCGGGAGGAGCGGCCGGGAGGACGCGGGCACAGCGGGGCCGGGCGGCAGCAGCGAGGGCCGGGCCGCGGCTGACCTCCGGCACAGGAAATCCCACCCCCGGCGCGGCCCACCCGGCGGATGTCGGCCGCCCCTTCAGGCGGCGCGGGAGGAGCGCGGCGCGGCCGCTCCCCGTGCCGGGGCCGCTCCCCGGGTTCCGCGCGGGGCGGCGCCGAGGAGCTCAGAGGGGCGGGGCGGTGCGGGCGCTCGGCTCGTCCGACGCAGCGCTGCTCCGAACCGCGGGGCCGCGGGACGGGAGGCGAACGCTGCGGGCCTGGCGGAGCTCGGAACAGAACAAGAAGAACTCCGGGAGCAAAAACTCAAATAAAACGAGGGCTCTCAGCTTTGCACAGTTTGCAATAAAACCGAAAGCGTCGGCTTTTAATATGTGGAAAAGCAGAGCGAGCACCGGCCCGAAGGCACGCGGTTACGCGAGAGCCGGGCTCTGCCCCGCGGCTTCATCCGGCGCTCTGCGGCGCTGGGAAGCGGCGGCAGCCTGGGGCAGGGCGCTGCCACGAGCCTCGGCTGCAGCGCTCCGGGCGGGCGGAGGCGGGGCGCCAGGGGCTGCGGGGCTGGCGGCTGCTCGGCACGGAACGCCCGGCCTGGTCCTTTGCCGCGCGCCTAACGGGTCGGCGTTTTACAGAGTGCCGCGCGGTGCTGAGCTGAAAGCCTTCCGGCGCACGTAGCAGCGCGACGAGCCGAAGCAGGGCTGTGCTCGTGCAGCATCTGCCCCGCCGCGGCTGGACGCGGGTCGCTGACTGTTGAAGCACACAGTAAAGCAGAAGACGCGTTTTAGGAGCACGCTTTGGCCACCCACACGAGTCTGGTCTAAATAAAATTCCCCAGAAGAGCTTGCAGGCTAGCGCTACTTCACGTGTACTGCAGAATTGGGCCACGACCCGGTCTGTGCTTAAAACACCGGTTCTTGTTTGTAACGCTGTACACACAAATCTGAACTTCACACGAACAAAAAGTATTTCCACGAATGCAACTCGCTTTGAGGGACTGCTACAGGCTGCACGTTCACCAGCAGACCACTCGTTGATACTCCGTACTTAAATTCACGTGCTGAGAAGTTACACAAACAATTCTTCCCCTTATCTTCTGGCTCTGAAATGATACATCGTTGAAGATTTCGGTGGCATCAGCGAAGCACTGGGTTATTCCCCTTCCTTCTATTTCAAAGCAATAGTAATTTTAGCTAAGTCCAGTTTGGAAGAACTTTAAGGCATCCCCAGGCTGTTGAGTAGCCAGCTCTATTGGACCAGAACGTTCCTCAGCCAAGTGCTAACCAGAGAAATCGCTTATTAGCAATCCATGAACTGTAAACATGGACCAATTAACCTAAGCAGGAAGGGAAACGTCTGAAAATCAGTTAAGTATGCACAGGTAAGGGGGGGGGAAGGGAGAGAGAAAGAAGGCAATACAGTTAAACAGATTTTGTCAATACTAAGGCAAACATTAAGACAGGAACACTTAGAGCATTAAGGCAAATGATTCTTCCTCCTGTCTGCAGCACAATGCTAGTGAAACCACATCCACCCGTGTTGCTGCCTCCATCATGCTCTGTCATCTCCATCTGCCCCACAGGCCAAGAGCACATTCCCAGCAGTTCTTTAAATAAACAGCAAATCCTTTAAATGAAAATTTACATTTATTTTGAAATTTTTAAATGTCATTTCTATCAATTTAGACACAGTTTGACATTATCAGATCAGAGAATTTACAGTGACTCATGGATAACAATTTGGCTTTTACATTCAAATGCTACGTACTTCAAAAGAGCTTTGCTTTGTTATTTCCAAACCAGAAACACTGAAGAACACCGTATTTTGCCTTTCGACCATCTTTGTTAATTAACAGACTTTTAATATCTGCTGTACTTGAAGGGGAACGTGTACAACACTAAAGGAATTACTTTGTTTGAATGAAGTGAGTACCTTAGTAGCAGTTCCACATTTAAGACTACTGGTTCGGTAGCATAAAAGGCAGTACTAAGCAGAAACACAAGTTGTTCTTTTTTAGGTCTGTTTTCCTCAGATAGATTGCAGAGTCCAGTCTACTTAGAAAGCCTTTTTATGAAGACAGAGGTCTCACTAGCCAATATTAACACCATACAAAGTTTAGCAAGTTTTGTTCAGTTTTCATAGTTTGAGAATAGTAACATAGAATTCCATTGCTATCTAACACTAACCTTGTATTAGTGGTTAACAACAAAATTCAATTAATCTATCCAACTTAAATTGTGTTGGTTTTATCACTTAATATATATTTTCTCCTACTCTCTAGCAGTAACTTGAAACCAGGCAAGCAATTAACGCTTGTAGGAAAGAGATTTGATCAACTTGCTCATTACTGGCAAGAGTTGTGCCCCTTCAGTGTGTACAACATGATCACCTAAGAGAATAACTGAACTTCTCCCTTCAAGAGGGACAGACTCCCAGAAGGCATCCTGTAAGGTCACCACCTCCCCAATTCTTAAAAGCAATATTAAGCTCCAAGGCCCTGAAAAAACACAAAAACAAAGGCTTATAAATTTTAAGAGTGTGACTGTTATAATGCTGACTGCTGGTACTCCAACGTTTAAGACTTCTTTGCGTACATCTTAATATAGAGACAATACAGTCAGCAAGAAGCACATTGTGGAAGATCTGGGTTCACAGCTACAGCTTTGTGCTAGGCTCAAGCATTGCTAACATTAATGACTTTCATGAGCAGTAGAGCTGACATTTTCTTTTCTAGTAGGAAGATAATACTCAGGTCTCACGTAATGTTTGCTCCCCCTTTATTTTCCCTGTCCAATGGAACACCATTAATAGTGCACCAGGAATGCTCTACTGTCTAATGTCACAAACCTGCTGCATTTCAAGAATCACAGGTGTGTTTCCTGCCCAGGAACAAAGAGCAGAGAGGAATGTGAAAGGATTGCTGTATGAGTTTCAGAAGACGTGCATGCCATCCTAATCTTCCCTGTTCGTAAAGTCCTTTCATCTAGTTAGCCTGGGTAGGACAACATGCATCTCAACACCCAATGAAACAATTGTATTCATAAGCCTTTAAAGCATATAGAAAACTCAGTTCTATCCTCTGATGCTGTTTCAAGTTTGTTTTATTCACTCTTTTGGATGACCATAAATAACTGTTTCCACTATGGAAAAGAAAGTTAGCACAGTACATTTTCATGACTGGGGAATGGATTTTCTGAAGACATCTTCAAAAGGGCAAAAGCTTAGAAAAAACAACCTGAACATTGAATTCAGTTCCTTATAAAGTCCCTTGTAAAAATAAAAAAAAGAAAAAATATAAAGAAAAACTGCAAGGCCCAGGATGATTTATTGCTTTTCTTCATTTTCCTTGGTCTCTTTCTTCTCAGCTTCTTTGCTCTCATCCTTTACAGAAAGCTCCTCTAGTTTTTCAGCAACTTTATCGGCACTGTCATTTTTGTCTGTGCCTGCTAAGAGATTGATGAGGAAAAAAAAAAAAAGAGTTACACAGAGGAAGTAGTCAATTTTCCTGTAACAGAGGAACAGTAAAGGTAAAGAGGATAGGGAGGAGAGACAACCTGTATTTAGAGTAAGAGCAAAAGCAACTTTCCACTGAGCACTGGAGTGACTCATTCTGTTTCTTCTTTACTAATTCCTTCCAGTGTCAGAATTCAAGAAACACCATTTGGATATTTTAATCACTAGATGAGTGCCTAACCGTACTGACAGAGAAATACTTCTCATTTGGTCAGCTTTCATGCTACCAGAAACAGACCCCATGCAACACAGAAATCTCCCAAGTCCCAGCTTCTAGTCCATCTCAAATGAAAACCAGCCTCCCCAAGACCCCACCTCCCCACTTTGGAAGTGGGACAGACAGGCAGTTCCTAAGAGTGAAGGATTCTGATCTGAATATCAAAAGCGTTGCTCGCCAACTACTTGTAATCTGTACTTTAGGAAGATGGAGGTGTTTATTTCACAAGATATGCTATCTTGTAACAGACAATTACACAATGTGACGCATTAAGCTATTCAATAAAGACCTGTGAAGACATTCTACCATTCCAAATACATTAAATATTAGAACTGAACATTCTATTTCCATGACTACATAGTTGTGGAATTCGGGATGGGAAACTAGGAGGAGAAAATATCACTGTGGTTAGAGTGCTCACAGTTCACTTGAGTATTATAAACCAAAATACTTCTGCAGCAGTTCCAGAAAAAAAAAGAAAAGAAAAATTAAAAGAAAAGAAAAAGAAAAAGAAAAGCCATGTCCCAATAGCAATTGTAACAGCCTTCCACAAGAAAGAAGGCATTCATCATGCCTGTGAGTGATTACTCTCGCAGACAAAAAAAGCACCTGAACTGATGGCTGCAGTTCGGTGCAGAGTGAGTCTGCTCCAGCACAACGACACACTGGGGGCTATAACCAGCAAACAGAAGATGCACAACATTTAAGACTTAACCCTTACCTTTTTTTGCTCTCTTGTCTACTTCGTTTCTGCATTCTTCAAATTTTGCCTTGAATTTCTGTGCATCTGTTTCAGTAAAGACAGAATACTTTTCATTAACTTTACCTCCTTGCAACACTGAATGTTTCTCAAGTATCTTCCCTCAAAATCAGTGGCTGTGTAAACAAAACTTGTAGGTACTTACAGAGTGATTGAGCTTAAGATCATACAAAAAGCTCCACAAAGTTTTTCAGTCACTTTTTTTGTGCAGATCTTGAGCAGCAAATCTAAGAAAGCCTCTTAACTTTCAAAATATTTCAAATAAGATTCCAGAAGGAACTGCCTTGTGGTCAGTAAGACTCTTAGCTGCCCCTGCCCCACAAAAATAAGAATACAGCGGTATCCTAACACAGCTATGCGCAGCAGACTGAAGATTAGCTATGAACTACTGGCCCTCCACTACATCACACCCCAGAGGAACAACACAACTTAGGGTCTCAGCAACAAGTGCTAAAGATAAAGCTTGAGTACTGCACTAGTGAGACAAAGACTCGAATTCAAGT